TGATGAGAGACATCTTTCTCTTCCCTTGCCAATATTTTGGTGGGCAGAAGGCATTAAAGTTCCCTTCTCCTTGCATTTCCTCTCTCAGGGTGAACAAAAGGGGGTGACTAAGGGAGCTGCATTTGAGGGTAGGAGGATGTCTTCACCTTGAAGCTACCTTTGAATCTGGTACGCACAAAGGAGCCAGAGCAAAAAGCAGAAGAGAGAAGCCAGAAGCTAGTTCCTAGTCCCCAGATCTTCAAGAGGGAGATAGAAAACCCCCTGACCTGTGAAGTCCCTATTGAGTGCTCAATCTTCACAGCCCTGCGCAGGAGGTACTAGTCTTGTCTCCATTTTACAGACAAGAACACTGAGGATCCTGACATTAAGAAACTGGCTCCAAAGCACATAAGGAAGAGCTGTGCAGGACTGGAATGCGAGTCAGTCTGAACAGCACACGCTCCCCCTTCAGGGATGGGGGGGACTTGGAGTGAAGCAGGACGGTATTGAAGCAATTGGCTAACCATGAAAAAGGTTGAAGGAATTTTTTTCCAAGCAAATAATTATTTTGTTTAGAAAGTCACACAGGGACAGTGGGAGACAGAAGTGAAGACTGCTGTTTCCATCCCCAGGGGCTATTTGCCTATGGATATCCAATTGTTCCAGCACCATTTGTTGAAAAGACTATCCTTTCTCCACTAAATTGCCTTGGCACCTTTGTCAAAAATCACTCAACCACACACGTGGGCCTATTTCTGGACTCTATTCTGTTCCATTGACCTATTTTTCTATGTTGATGCTAATACCATGTTGTTTTGATTACTGTAGCTTAGTAATAAGTTTTAAAATTGAGAATTGCACAGGCGATGAACTTACTAACGGGCAGACAGAGACACTGTGCTCTTTGTCAAGTTCTGACTTGGAAGAAAAAAACAGAAAAAAATCGAGAAGTGCAAGTCCTTCATTTTTCTTTTTCAAAGCTGTTTTGGCTGTTCTAGGTCTTTTCCATTTCCATATGCAGTTCAGAATCAGGTCATCAATGTCAACAAAAAAGCTTGCTGAGATTTTGATTGTGTTGAGTCTATAAATCAATTTGGAGAGAACTAAAATATCAACATCATCAGGTTCAGATCCATGAACATAGTAGACCTCTTGTTTATGTAGGTTTTCTTTAATTTCTCTCAGCAGTGTTTTGTAGTTTTCATGGAATAGATTCTATATGTCTTGTGTCAGATTTATTCCTAAGTAGTTTATACTTTTTGATGCTTGTGTAAGTGGTATTTTAAATTTCAATTTCCAGTTGTTCATTACTAGTACATAGAAATATAATCGACTTTTGAATACTGAGCTTAGATCCTGCAACCATGCTAAACTCACATATTAGTTCTAGTAGCTTTTTTTTTTTCCTCGTAGATTTCATAGAATTTTATGCAAATAAGACTGTTTTCTGAGGGGCCATGTTCAAGGAGGCTGCATTCCGGGAAACTCCATCCTCAGGCTGTTGTGGGGAAATACAGGGACAACTTAATTTGCGGGTGGTCAAGTCCTGCCAGCTATCCTCAGCGCAGTAGAGCCATAGATCTAGCTGCTTCACTAAAACAACTGTTAAAACAGACTGATATTCTGTTAATATTGGGGGCCACCCTCAGCACAGACCACTTGATTATCTACTCTCACCAGTTAGGACCCCAGATGAGGGCTGAGTGAAGGCAAAAATATGCAGCCTTGGGTTAGAAAGATGTCCCAAAATCCCTCCTACAAAGCACGACCTTCTCTCATGCCAACCTCCATGAAACCCTCTTCCTGGTATCCGGGCTCTGTCTCGCCCCTTCTGTGGGGGTGGGGGGGGCGGTGGGCAAGTGTCATGAGATCCGGGACCACTGCCATTCTGTATCCCCTGGCCTTTCACCAATGCCTGCCAAGTGGTTGAAGAATTTAATATTCTTCAAGTGACGGCTTGAGCTCTCTACGTGTCCGATCCCCAGGCTTCGTGAATGACCTTACAATGCCTCTTGGGTTTCTCTTCCTTCAAAAAGGCAGTTCAAACCTCGGCTGCAGGTTAAAATCTCCTCAGGTGATTCTAGAATACTAATGCCTGGACTGCACCCCAGATCCCCGAAATCCAAGTCTCTGGATCTAAGTCCCCAATGGCGGTGGTGTTTGTTTTCAAAGCTCCCTAGATGATTGTGATATGTATTCAGAATTGATAACCACTGACACAGAAGAAAAGAAAGGCTGCTTTCATCCAGCCAGGTGACCAAAAATCATGGACGGGCTCACCTTGAAGGGCCAGCAGGCAAGCCACGTAAGGAAGCTCACTTGGGACTGCCCCAATGCAGCCCCCGCAAGAGTTCCTAAGCTCACTCTATTGCAATGGAGCAGGAAAAAAGGAAACCAGACCAGAGTGGAAAGCATTTTCAAACTTTATTTACAACTGTCACAGTGACAAAAAGTAGTTTGGAAAAAAAAAAATGCTAGTTTCTCCCTGAGCCTCAAAAAAGAACAGATAGAAGTTACAGGAGGTTCATTTCACAACAGGCGTTTTTACTGAAATACTAGGATTTTTTTTTTCAATACGATCAGTTAGAAATACACACAAATTACTTAAAAAAAAA